TACATTGAAAGATTTCGTTCGAGCGCGATAAGAGAGCGGTCCTAGATAAAAATTTTTGAATCTACAAAAAAAAAAAAAATATATTCAACTTTCTTCAAAGTCCTAATTTTTTCGAGATTAAAATACTTTGGAAGATTTCGTTCGGGCGTGGTAATTAAAAATTCCAGAAAATCGAGGGAAACAAGGGAAAATCCATGAGGTACGTAACAACAAAAGCGTAGCGATCAGCTCGGTGTCTAATAAAAGGAGAGGGAAGAGGATGTACGGTGTATGGACGACGGTGAGGGGGATTCCCCTCCTGTAAAGAGGGTACACTGTATAACGGCCCTATAAAATGACTAATGATGTAAGGTGGGTGTAAAGTGAAGCAGCTATTGATTCGTAGACGCGTAAATGACACGTCTATCGGCTACCGAGGCCACCAGTCATGCTGAGGTTTTAACTCTTAGCACGGGTGAACCCCCGAATCTCGCTCGACCGACCTATACAGATGATGATAAACGGTCCGCGCCAACCGTGGTGGCCACGGTTTACAATTACCCAGCAATATTTTTTCCACCGACCGCATTAAGAATAAACGGGAGATTCGTTTCATCGTCGCAGAAAACTCTACAACAGAGATCATCCACTTCTTTCTCTTCCTTCCCCCCCCCCCGATTTTTATTGAACTTTCTCTTGGAAAAAAAAAAAAAAAAAAGAAAAACTATTGGAAATTTTTCAATCAAGATCGTTACGATTTTTATTACGATTAAAAACGAAGACTTAGCATCGGTCGTTTAAAAAAAAAAGGGGGAAGAAGAAGGTGTTCTTAAGAAACGTGTCTAAAATTATCGAAATTTCAATCATTTCGAGATAAATCTTGGAAATTAAAAGTGAATTGGATTCTCACTATTTCAATCTTCTGGGTTTCATTCAAATTGGTAGGAGAAGCGTAGTAAGTAGATCTTGGATAACTATAAATTAATAAGGTAAATTAAGAGGCGATAAAGATGATATTTTCTATTATTGGTTAAACGATCGTTTCAATCGAAAGAAAAGAAGTTGGGATATATCTCCGGGAGAGAGGTATGGAGGGAAAGGTGTTTACTTCTGGTCTGACGTGGAATCCAATCAACGTCTCCATTGCGACTTGACCTTACCGAAAATTGGGTCGAGGATCCACGGGGATGATTAATGCTCGCGCTGATTAGTCTCGGGTCTTCGAGACGGACGAGTCTTCGACCATTAGCCATCCTATGATCTTTGTCCATTGGTCGGGTAACATTAGATTGTTCATAAGACAGGCATAAAATCATTTTAGCTGGTGGTACTTCTCTCCACCGACACCTTCGATTCCACGCAACTGATTGACATTTATTAATTATTCCTAGCAGCCTGTTTAATTTTTCTTCGTTCGAAACTTCTAACTTCTCGTGAATACAGACACTTCGTACATATTTCATAGTCTGCATTTCCTTTTCTCTTTTTTTACCACGTAATCTGTGAATCTGGACAATTTATTTTACTTAAACAATTTCCCCTATACGATATTTTTAATTAATCTTGATAATTTCTTAAAAAAAAAAAAAATACATCGTTTCACCCAATTTCATAAAAAAAGAAAAACTACTTACGCGAGATTTATTTTATTCGCGTACGATCGCTTGTTGCGTCCGTAGCTTTCGCCGTTTATCAGTTAGGGCGCGCAAGGTTTGTTTATGTATGTTAACATGGCGTCGGCCTGTCTCCCCCATGAGCTCGGTTGATTTATAGGCGGAGCATCTGACAGTAGATACCACCCCCAAACTCGAGACAACAGCTGTTTCGTTCTGTGTGACAGTAACGCAAAAGTAACCTCGTTAAACTCCATCTATGTCACTTATTTTCAACTATAATTCGTGTACGATTATCCAAGAATCGTAATTCTTCGGCTACTTTTCACTCACTTTTTACCGATCGTAGATTTATATTCAAAGTATTCTCTCTTCTATATCGACTATCGACGTTTCTGCTTTACCTACAACAGTAATACATTTTCGTTAGAGAGTTCTGAAATATCGACACGTTTTTACCGACGAGAAACAAAATATACTGACATCTTACTTAAAGTCTGTTCCCAAATATCGACCTAAAAAAATATTAGTACAGTGCATTGCTGGTAAGCTAGTATCTTGAGAATGCGGATGGTAAGTTTCTTCTTATCCCACCAAACAATATAAAACGCATTATACGTTCATCTGGTTAGATGGCAACTTACCAGCAATGCACAGAATTTACATTTCTTATGCCTTATTATTACTAACATGTAACGTATATACGAAATGTCTTAAATTTAAATTTTTACATGCTATCATTTCTTACTAACTATAATAACACAACTTACTACTAATACAACTTAATACAAACGAGACAAAACTCTTATGAAAAATTAAATTCTTAAAATAAGTTCTTAATATTCCTAGCATGCTCTATGTAAAAAAATAATCGCGATTGCAGCCAATTAGCTAGTATTATTTGCTACAGGCAATTGCTGTACAATAATTAATAATTATATTATATATAGCAAATAATACTGACCCAGGTCTCACCGCGTGGAGGTTGCTGCTTCGGAGACCCACCCTAACCACGACATCCCATCCACCCTCCTTTTGCGCAAAAATTTTTTTAATTACATTTTCAAATAAATTTTCCTTTTGATCCACATTTACAAACCAAAGTTGTGTAAACCAAAAGGAACTCGAAGGAAGGGAAACCGACGCGGAAATCTAAAATCTAAAGTAACATTTCTCAATTAAAATCAAGAGATGTTACCTTCTATCGATATCTTCATTCTTATCGCAAGAATGAAAATAATCGATAAGTTAGGAAGAAAGTGAAAAAGAAGGAAAAAGAAATAAGCAAAATAAAAGCATCCCACCACCGTGCGTTGCCCTGCGTGCATTGCGCTGCGTGCATTGCGCTGCGTGCATTGGAACTACAAGCATTTTCCCCATTAATTATCTACTTATCTATGCTACTCTATCTTATCTTATAATTAACACCGTTGCATGCACTTATAAATATATTTTGCTTAATCTATGTCTTATAAATTACTTATTTCTACATTCTTATTTCTATTTCTTTTATAATACTAATATTTTAATTTCAAATATTTCCTGCTTAACAAATATCTGAATAAATATAATAAACAGGAGAAGAAGGATGAGGGAAGGTATATATATCTTCCATGTTGAATCTTGAAAGAACGTGTCAATCTTCAACGTTGAATCTTCAATGTTGAATTTTGAAGTGACAAGTACATAACATTTTTCTATCTGAAAAACTCAAAGTAGATTAATAAAAATCCAAAGTCTTAAATTCTACAAAGAAATTGAACATTTTGTTACATGAAATAATTAATTTACATATATCTCTTTCTTTTAATTTTAAAATACCTTTTTTTTTTTTTTGTATCCTTAAATCTTCATCCTAAAAGTTAATCAACCTGAAACAAACTCGTTCATTGGATTAGTACTTAAAAAACGAAAAAAATTGAATACCTGAAAAGGAAACAAGTTAAGAACAAAACAATAAAGTATCGTTAAATAATTCATATTTTTTTTTCCTAATCAAAATTTTGCAAATTCACAAAGATTCGAATTTGAAATTGAATTATAAATATAGTTCTACAAAGAAATTGAACATTTTGTTACATGAAATAATTAATTTACATATATCTCTTTCTTTTAATTTTAAAATACCTTTTTTTTGATCCTTAAATCTTCATCCTAAAAGTTAATCAACCTGAAACAAACTCGTTCATTGGATTAGTACTTAAAAAACGAAAAAATTGAATACCTGAAAAGGAAACAAGTTAAGAACAAAACAATAAAGTATCGTTAAGTAATTCATATTTCTTTTTTTTTTTTTTTTTCCCCTAATCAAAATTTTGCAAACTCGCAAAGATTCGAATTTGAATTTGAATTCAGAATGAAGAATTTTAAATATCGTAACAAATGAAAAAAATGTTCAGAGATAATAAAGTATTTCCAGTTTTAACCAGTGCCTTTTGGGATGCTGAAAAGAAGAAGGAAAAAAAGGTAGCCAGAAGGGCTACCAAAACACACAATCCACTCGATATACGAAGCCGAACAACGCGCGAGTGGAGTCTTTTCTCTTTCGCAACACTAATATACTAAAATTTTATTCATATAAAACAAAAAATCGCGAAGAGTGCTTTGTTATACTACAAAATGCAATTCTTGATCGACAAAAAAAAAGAAAGAAAAAAAAAGATAGAAACGTTTCAATTATCCACGCAACTACTTTATTTACGCACTCGTGTTTAAATAAACGCAACACTAATAGCGCAAGACGCAGCCATCTTGGTGGCTGCTGCACACCCAATGCTCTTCTAACCGCATTAGGTGGTCCAGCAATTCCAGTCGAAAGTTTGGGCATGTCATCAACGCAACACTACTTTAAAAAACGCGAGTATTCATCAACGCAACACTAATCGCTAACAGTATAAATTGAATACAAAATTTACTATTAATTAAAAAAACGCGAGTATTCATCAACGCAACACTAATAGGATAAATTGAATACAAAATTTGCTTTATTAATTGAAAGCTACTTCAAACATTAATCGAAGGCTATATTATATTTTTGCAATTTGCAAATTCAAAAAAAAATAAAAAGAAAATTACTCTAATTACAAGTATATATATATTGAAACACAACCGCGAAACTTTTCAAGTCGCAACACTAATTCAAACCGTTTTTTCGAGCGCAACACTAATAAAAATCGCGATTTGCCCGTGGACTGGACGATGACTGATGGGCCGGCATGCACTGGATCGGCCAGACGATACGTAACATTTACTACATACTCTAAAACGAGCACAGTAACAAAGTAGTAACAATGACCTCCCATTCTTTGAACCCCGGAAAAAAGATCCAAAGGATGAGAGGCCATTCGTTGCGACCCTCTTCGTGACAGTTTGTCGGGCCTCTTCGGTCTTCCTCCTTCGGGCGCGATGCCCGCTGAAACTTAAAAACTAGGCTCGAGATTCGTTAACCGTGGGAAAAGAAAAAAAGAAAAAAAAAAGGGCTAAAATCGAACGAAAGTGGAGAGCGCGGAACCTCGAGCTCGACGTTCGTTTCGTGACAAATAATTCGCGAGCGCGACGATTCGAAGAATGGATAGGCAAAGCAAGAGACGAGGTGAATTCTCCACTCGTGTCAACAGCCTCACCGTCCACTCTTCGAATCCCATTTCCTGAAACAGGTTGCCACGCGAGAAACGCGCCTACCCGACCAGAGACTGTGACAACCTGCCCGGCCCTGCCTACTTACGATTAACATTCGCACCAGAAGGCAAGCTACCTGTCCTACCTAGCCCTATATTTGAAAAAAATGGCAAAAACAGGCACACCAACACACTCTCTCCACGATTCTCACGCATAACGCTCGGGCGCGATAAGCCTACACTGGGGAAAGCGTCCCGGGACGCCTCCGACACCCGAGCTTGGCACGCTACTCTCACGCTCTAACTTTACGTACCGTTTTACCTGAAATCGACTGACGGTGGATAGCGGCCATTGCGTTGATTCGCGATAAAAATGCGGGAATCTAAATTTTTGATCGCGAATAATTGCGAACGAATATGTATTACGCGTATATATTATAAATTTGACGGCATTATCGATAATGCTGCTATTTAACGTGATATTTTTCGTACGTGTGAAATATAATAACAATCGAAACGACGCATCTCCACAGCCTAATCGCACGCACACACGTGTGGAGAGTACGTCGCGCACGACACACCAACGCATCGTCAGTCGCGTGAAAAATTTTCATTAGCTTATGAACTAAGGTCATCATGCCCACCGCCTTTCTCCCACCCAAGTAGCACCTGGGCACGTGGGTGGGGTCCTGGCAGTGAACACGGAAAGGGTTAAATCTGAAAATCCTGAGCTAAAAAAAGTGGCATTAGTCGTATCTATTTTTTTTTTTATCTAACGGGCTAATTTATTTTATTTTATTTAATATTTTAATTTCATTTAATAATTTGATAATATTTTAATTTCTAAATAAATGCATCTAAATAAATGTGATGAATTTAACGAAATATTAAAACTGTATCAAAAAGTGAACAAGAAATTTATTTAAATCAAAATTAATAATTAATGAATTTATTTGAACAATTAATAATCCTCAGGCGATCTCTTAATCAAAGCAAATTTTCTAAAATGCAGTGTTAAAAAAAAATTCACTGCTTTGATTTTGAAATCTACCTGTCGCGAAATGTCTTCTTGCAAATTTAAAGTTTCATACATTTTTGTATACGAGAAGAATAAAATTATTTACTATTTTTATACTTCGAATTTCACTTGAAAAATCATTAATAATTGTTCAACACCCAAGCGATAAGTGAAATTGAAAATTATCTGATAATGCACTATATATTATTGAATATACAATAATTGAAATTTTTGTTGTAACGAAATCGGAGGACATCCGATTTCTTTACCGAGAGACATTCAGATCAAAATTTTTTATTCATAAATATATATTCGTATATCGAGTACACTAATTGTGGCAAATTATAATATTTCCAACCACAAAGTGTACAAACTAATTATAATACCAATCGTGTTAATTAAAAATTTTTCAATACTGTTTGCCATTAAACACGCGATATGCAAGAAGACCCTATCCTGATCTAATATAAATGAAACAAGAAAAATGTTACTACTCACGAGTATGATAAATATACTCGTGGTCACTGTGCTCGTGCAAAAATCTACGTATACAACCAGTCACCCGTGTCGATTCGGACCTTTCGTCCTACGACATGATTGAGTGACCAGAGGAACCAAAATGCATGCGACTCACCATTCGATGCGAAGAACTGCTGCTGTTGTAGCCCAGAAGTCGTCGAGGTAGAAGAAATCTTAAGAAAGAAAGGAATAAATCATAATTTAAAAAACACAATTCCGATTGTTTGAAATAATAATAAGATATTGTGAAATACATTGAATTATGCAATTACCTCTTCGCGTGATGGATGATCGCCTTATGCTCTTCGTACACTGACTCTACCCTGTACCCGAAAACGAATTGTATATAAATTTAAAAAAAATAAAAATAAGAAGCTAATAACGCGCCCGTTTCATGTTATAATCGGCGAGCAAACACTGATTCTACTTTCGCGTTTCATCATTCTAATTATATTTAATTGTTCTGCTCTAAAAAATATTGAAAATATTATCACGAAAAAAAACACTGACTCTATTAACCGCATTGCGCGCGGTCGCAAATATTTTTCAAATCTTCGTAAAGTCCAGCTTCAAGTCCTTTAACAGAGAATAGAATATTAATTGTTGTTCTTGTGAAACAGCACTTGTTATTAAAAAATTTTAGAACGAAGAAAAATAAGAGTCTATTAATTTTAATAAAAAGTTACCTCTTCGCGTGATGGATGATCGCCTTATTCTCTTGATACACTGACTCTACCCTATACCGAAAACGAATATTTAAAGAAAAAAAAATAAAATAAAAGACTACTGACCCGTACGTTTAAATTACAATCGGCGAACAAACACTGACTCTACTTTCGCGAGATATTATAATAATTAAGTTAGAGCTATTGCTCTAAAGAACATTGAAAAAATACTGTCACGAAAAAAACACTGATTCTACTATAACCGCATTGCGCGCGGTCAAAAAAGTGGGGGAAAAGTGGGATAAAAAAGAGAAGAAAATATTAAGTTTCAACATTTTCTTTCTTTTTTTCTATCTAGGCATCTGTTTAAGAAAATACTATTATTATTCTGAAACTGTTATTTTCCTATGAATTGAAAGTTATTGAAAAAATAATTTAATCTATTTAAAATTAAAAAAGTATTTGAAATAAAAATTTAATTTTTTTAATCTCTTCTACCTTAATATTCGCAGTTATTGTATCGATTATATTATGAATTACTTAACAAGTCAATAATAATCAAATAAAAAAGAAGATAAAAATGTACGTATTACAATAATGTTACCACTTGTCCACAAAAAGTCACAAATATTTTATTGCGTCGAAATTTACAAGTCATTATGGCGTCCATGTTTGAATCCTTTTTTCCCTTTCTCGAGCTATCGGCAATTAGCTTCTAAAAAGACATAAAAGAAAATGAAATCTTTATAATAAATGTATGAAACATATAAACTAATTGATTATTATTAAAAAAAAAACTAACTTGTAATATAATTGAAGAAAGCAATGATAAAATATCCTATTCTAAAAATTCACGATACAATTTACCAGTAATTTTAACGATCAAATATGTTAATAAAGAAGAAAACAATAAAAAATTCTCGATTATAATATATACACGATTGAATATATATTAATTAAATAAGTAATATGTAACAAGTAAAAATAAACTATTGAAATAATAATTGAATTACATACCTGTTACAAATCGAAGCGTCTAATCGGCACGAATTTCAAAGACACAATGACGCATCATGGCTCGCGGCACAATTTCGATTATCGAAATTGTTATGAAGGGGATCGAGAGAGATGGTATGCTCGAGAGGTCGACAACAAATATCAAATGTAAATACGACCTCCAAATTCCTCGTATTCTATATAAATATTCCCAGCTACGACTAAGATATAAAAACACGCAATATATAACACGCAATAAGAATATACGTAATTAAAAATATGTAAAAATATTCTAAATCGTGATCCTTGATAAAATATATAAAAATCTTACCTGATTTCCATATACGTAATCCGATTGGCTCTTACATCTCGAAGCCATTCCGATAATCGAACGATATTCTGCACACACGAAAATCAAAGTAAAACACATGTATAATAAATGTATAATAAATATAATATAAAACAAACTAAAAAGTAAAAAATGTTAAAAGAACAATAATTGAAATCAAGATCGGATTCATAATAAGATTTATAATACGAACAATCGATAACTGTCGTATAGACGAGCAACGTAAAACGACAAAAAAGTATGAAAAACTATTTAATTTTTGAATATTGTTTAACAAATGATTAAACAAACACATATTGCGTATACAACACTACCGAAAGTAAAGAAATCACACTAAAATATTAATGAAAATTGTACAATTACGTACTTGTACCGGTGTAACGTATCCTACCGGCACGAGTTTCGATAATAGACTAACGCCATGCGCAATGATTCGTCTATCCGCTGGGTCCTAGAAGCTCTCTGATTGGTTGGAATAGCATGGTTCCTTTTCCAAAACCGCGCGACAATTTAAGTATCGTATAATATACTTTTAACACATTTTTAATTGAAAATAACTATAACATTTAATTTATTGTTAAAAAAAATAATAAGAATAAATAATTACGATTGATTTAACATAAAAATTAAATAGTTTTAACCAAATTAGAAAATATTATAGCATAATAAGGAAATTTAAAATGAAAATTTATTAAATCTGAAAAAATTATATAAAATATATAACAGTATAAAAAAAATAACGTGTAATATAAGTGAATTAAAAGAAAAATAAAAACGAAAAATAAAATTTAAACATAGTTTTTAATATTCGCTACACAAAATAAAATAAAAAAGATAAAAGATTAAAATTGATTAAAAATTTATTTAAATTAGGAAAATATAAGAATTAAATAAAGAATAAGAATTAAATAAATTAAAAAATATATAATATAAAAGATACCTAAAACAAAATGTAATAATAAGAAGAAAAATATAAAAGAATTGAGAAAAAAATTTTTATAACAAGTTTAATATCTGCAATTCCAGTCCAACAATAACTAAATAAAATAACCAAAGGAATTTTATAATTATTTATATAATTTTAATGTAATTATATGTATATTATAATGTAATTATGCATTAGATTGGACTGCAGATATGCGTAGTTAGCTTGCCATCGCTTTCCATTAACGAAATATTTTTAGCATTTTCAAATGACTGTAATAAAATATTTTTAAAATAAGATATTCTAGAAAAATAGATTTTGGAAAAACGATGCCAATTACCAGGTCTCGTCAACGAGGAGGTGACCACGCATCGAGATCCAAAGATTAAAGTTAAAAAATAAAAATAAAAATATTAAAATCGATACTTAATGTAAACGAATTAAAAAAATATAAAATATAGCAAATGAATTAAAAACAAGAATTAATTATCGTTTATAAAAGTTAAATAAATATGAAAAAATTGTAACATAAAATATTAAATTAAACAATAAATTAAACAATAAATAAACAATACAAATATAAATAATTGAAACAAAATACAATTATATAAATTAAAATACAATGAATCTTTACAATCTTTTCTTCATTTTTTAATGTAATTTAACGTAATTTATCGTTCGTCCAACGATGAGATCTAAATCGATTTATTCGTATATTCTCCTTATTGGCAGCATCCACGAAGATATCCTCTCAGACAAGGAAAAAATCGAAAATCAACTGAAAATCTGAAATTAGAGAAATTACAAAAAATTACAGAAAGTTGAAAAGAAATTACGAAATCAATCGTCAATTGTCCTCACTTTCACGATCACGATTTAAATCAGTAGATTTAAATCTTACGAAAGTCGCCAGACCAGTGATATTCGCCAGTCGTGGTCAGTCGAGGGTCGTCGACAACGGTCTGGCAGAAGAGACGACTTACGTTCTGATGATTTACGAGGACGATCGAGTACTCTGAGGGTAACAATGACTCTTGCAACCATAAAATAAAATAACGAGAATATAAGGATAAATTTAGGAAGAAAGTAGAGAAAAAAAACGAATAAGAAATTGGAGATGAAAATAATGAAAATAAAGGAAAAGGAGTAAAAGAATGGAAAATTTATACTTTTCTTCAAGTTTGGAGATCTTGATAATACGCTTACAATAAGTTGCAATATTAATTATTAATTCGTTAACTAATTAACATCTGTGACAAGAATATTCTCGTTAAAAAAAATTCTCGAGAAATAAAATAAAAATGAGGAGGAATTTTGACGAGAATATGCTTGTACAGATTTTATTAATATTTGCAGTCTAGTCTATCGATGATTAATCAATAATTAAATAATTAATCGATAAAGAGTATTACGTTTTAGACTAGACTGCAGATGTGCGTAGTTCTTGGCTTGCCATCGCTTTTCGAAAATTAAATTTTAAATATTTGTAAGATATCTTTCAAATTAAAAAAAAAAATTTGAAAAGCGATGCCAATTACCGGGTCTCACCGACGAGGAGGTGACTACGCATCGAGACCCATCTGAAAAATAAGATATTTAAAAATTAATTTAAACAAATTAGGGAAATATATAATTAATGATAAGTATTAAATAAATTGAAATTATTATAATATAAAATATATAAGAAAAAAAGAAATCATATAAAAATTAAATAAACAATCATCTGATGGCAAAACATGCCAACTTACCATTTGTAGATAACAGATTGGCACAGTTACAGCTTACCATCTATCTATAAAAATGATAAAATATATCAATACTCACGAATAAATATAATACTACGAATAAACATATTACTTTAAACGCTCGTAAATAAAACACGTGTAATAGCTTCCATACATCTAAAGAGCTTAATGCTCAAATCACAACTGTTAACGTACAATCTTCCCTCACTCGGTAACTATATTTCGGTCAACAGACACTGTCAAACCCTATCGATAACAGTTGTTTGTAGATGAATATTTATAAATACGATATTTTTAATATATTCTATTAATATTATTATTTTATTAATCCTATTTAACGATTTTTTATAAACTTATAATTTATTATATTATTAATTTAAAATAGTAAAAATAAAAAATAAAAAAGGCAGATGTTAAATCTACTCCATCCACGACATCTATGCTTTCGTACGAAGAAGAAGAATACTGTTTTATCAATCGTCAGTAAATATAAATAAATATATATATATACTTTCATTATATTAACAACGAAATTTTTTACCTTCAAAATTATTCGTTAAACGAGTTTATGTAACAAACTCGACGATGATATTTTTATTAATTCCACTAATTATTAATTATTAATATTAGATATTCCTATTATATATATATATAAACGAAAATTTTAAACGAATAATATAATTTCTAATTATGTTATACGAACGTCTCCCTAAAAGTCTCAATAATCTTAAAAAATTTTACCAAAGTAGTTATATAAATTTATACATCGATCGGATACATCATACCCGATTGACTCTGCAACGTATCCATTCCATTAACTTCTTTTCCTCTTTTCAATTCGTGTCCGAAAAATCAAGGCGGTATTGTGCCTTCTCGCGTTGAACGCCCGAGCCCTGGAACGCGTTTTCATTAAACGGAATTTCTTAATAGAAACTTTAGCCAGGATTGGCAGCATCTGCGAGAGAGTGACGTCGGACCCCGAGACCTTAGTTGGATTGAACGGGGGAACCGGCGATCCCGACGTGTGTTGACGCCCGAAATGCCGGCCGATCGATCTTCGTCAGACTTGATTTCGCAGCGGTACAATCATCCAACAAATAGAATTGTACGTTACCCTACCCGTACCCTCGAAAAACTTCACAACTGCCGTTCCTTGTCAACAGCCCCTTTTTCCCCGACTTACGTTTAAATCCCTCCCCTCTCTCACCGCCTCCTCGAAAATACGTACACCTCCTCCGATCCACGCCGAAGAACTATTCCTTCTTCTCTCCACCTTCCATCGATCTCTTAATACTTAAAATTAGACGATGGATCTCTCTCTAGATCTCGTCTCGCGGAGGAAAGAATATTTTATAAAAAAAAAAAAAAAAAAAAAAAAAAAAAAAAAAGAAAAGAACGTGTCTCT